ATGTTGCCCAAGCTGGTCTCAAACTCTTGAGCTCAAGTTGATCCTGACAACTCAACGTCTTTTTTTTTTTTTTTTTTTTTTTTTGAGACAGAGTGTCTTTTGTTGGCTGGGCTAGAGTGCCATGGCGTCAGCCTAGCTCACAGCAACCTCAAACTCCTGGGCGCAAGTGATCCTCCTGCTTCAGCCTTCCGAGTAGCTGGGACTACAGGCATGCATCACCATGCCGAGCTAATTTTTTCTATTTTAGTTGCCCAGCTAATTTCTCCTATTTTTAGTAGAGACGGGGTCTTGCTCTTGCTGAGGCTTGTCATGAACTCCTCACCTCAAGTGATCCTCCTGCCTTGGCCTCCCAGAGTGCTAGGAATTGTCTATGGAATGAATTATATTTACTTTGTTAAACAAGAAGTCTTCTAATTTTTGATATTTATGTATTTCTCTTTTCTTGAGATATTGACTAAATTTCCATAGCCATGTTAAATATCAGTAGTCTACAAGTTTTTTTTCTTTTTTTAAATTGATAAATACAAATTTTATAGATTTATCATGTACAATATGATGTTTTGAAATATGTATATACTGGGAAATGGTAGTTGTTATTCTACTGTCTCCAAATAGCAATGACAATACCTCTACTTTTTAATTTCTGTGATATGAAGTTTGATGAGCTGTTTCAATGTTATTAATAACAAAAGAACAAAATAAGGATTAGCCTGTAGTTCTAGCTATTCAGGAGACTAAAGTGGGAGGATCTCTCGAGCCCAGGAGTTCCAGGACGTGGGGTGCTATGATTGTACCGGTGACTAGGCACTGCACTCCAACTTGGGGGAGACCTCTGTGTCTATAAATAAATAAATAAGGGTTGGAGGGAATAAGGAATGACTGCTTAATGGATACAGGATTTCTCTTTGGGGTAAGGAAAATGTTAGATAGTAGGACAACATTGCAAATGAACTAAAAACCACTGAATTGTACACTTTTAAATTGTAAAGTGATGTATTTCACATCATGTAAATTTCATCTCAGTAAAAAAGGGGAATTTTATCCCTCTCCACTCTCTAGAACGGCTAAAGTGAAAAGTTAGAAAATACTAATTATTAATGAGAATGGAACAATTTGAACTCTCATAATTACTGGTGGGAGGGTATATTGATAACCACTTTAGAAAATTCGTTGGCCTATCTTCTAAAGCTGAAGATAACCACACACTCTTATCACCCAGCATTTTCCCTCCACCCAATGCATATGTGTGTTCACCTAAAGATGACATTAGAATGTTATAGCAGTATACTTTAAACAGCCAAAACCTAAAAATGACCCAGCTGTGCATCTCCAGTAGAATAGATGACTACATTATCATATGCAGCAATGATAATCAATGGACTACAAGTAAAATTAACAGCATGGATATATCTCACAAGTATAATTTTGAACAAAAACCTGGCAGTTATGTAAAGTTTGAAAATAAGCAAGAGAAATTTATGATGTTATATATCAAGACAATGGTTACCTTTTGGGCCCTTAGTGATGACAAGACAGAGGAGTCCATGCTTGGGATCTGGTTACATATATGTTCATTTTGTGAAAGTTCAATAAGCTATATGATTTTTACACTTTACTGTGTGTATGTTCTACTTGAATACGGTTTGCATTAAAATGATAGATATTTCCATTGAATGGTAGCAATGTTAGACTAGTTTAAAATTTTATTTGGAAAAACAAATGAACATACCCCAATATTAACAGGATGAGATTATGATAGCTTCTAGGTCTTTCTTTTTTTCCTATACCTCCTTTTTTGGTATTTTATGACTTCTCTAAACATGTAAAAAACAAAAATAATACTCTTTTAGGCTATATCCACTCCACTTTCGTCTTTAGTTTCTATTGTATTTTGAAGTTCTTATAGCTCTTATTTAGATATTTAAGTGATGCTATGAGTAATTTCTATATTTATTTTACAGGCAGATTTTGACAACAAACCAGTAAATGGCCCCAAATCAGAATCCATGGACTACAGTAAATGTGGTCATGGGAAAGAACAAAGATTGGAATTGAACCCAAAACCCCTTGAAAATGTAGCTAAAAATGAGGAAAGCATGACAGGTGTTGAAGTGGCCAAGTGGACGCAAAACAAGAAATCACACTTAATTAATCATGTCAAAGGCGATTTCAGTGCTAATGTGACAGAAGCTGAAAAATCAAAAAACTCTGAAATTGACAAGAAACAAAACAAACCTCCACAATTGTTTATACAAACTGTAAGAAATGGCATTAAAAATGTACACTATTTACCAACTGAAACAAATGTGTCATTTAAAAAATTCAATATTGAAGAATTTGGCAAGGCATTTGACAATAATTCCTGTAAATTCCTAAAAGACACTGCAAACCATAACAATGCCATGAGCTCTATTGCTACTAGTGCGAGTTGTGATCATCTCAAGGGGAGAAGTAATGCGTTAGTCTTCCAGAAGCCTGGCTTTAAATGTAATTCTAATCCAGATTCTTCAAACTTCAATATAAACAGTCACACTGGTACACACAATGAAGGTGATCAACCAAAAACTCCTGACGATATGCCAAGTAAAGAACCAAAAGAGGGGTCTCCAGTTCAAGCAGGAATTCTATCCTTAATGAAAGATAGGAGATTAACATTGGATCAAGTGGTAGCCATAGAGGCCCTGACTCAACTCTCAGAAGCCCCATCAGAGAATTCCTCACCATCAAAGTCAGAGAAAGATGAAAGATCAGAGCTGAGAACAGCTAGATTGCTTAACAGCAGCCACAAAGCTGCTATTGTAGGAAAAGACCTTCAAGACCCAAACATACAAGGAGAGGCACCAGACCTTCATCAATGTCCATCTTTGGAAAAGCAAAGTTCATGCAACATAGTGGTATTCAATGGCCAAAATACTCTTTCCAACTCACATATCAGCTCAGCTACTAACCAAGCATCCACAACGTCATATGAATATTCAAAAGTCACAAATTCAATACCTCTTATACCAAAAACAAATTCATCCAAGACCGATACCAGTAAAAATATTGCTAAAGGTAGTATTACTCTTGACAGTTGTTCCAAGATTTTGCATCAGTTCCCACCAAGAAGTAATAAATTGGGATATTGTAATGAGTTCCTGGACAACAGTAAAAATTTGGACTCAGATGATGTATTATGTCAGGATGCAACCCATACTCAAATTGAGGAAGATGTTGCAACACAACTAACACAACTTGCATCAATAATTAAATCAACTAATACAAATCCAGAGGACAAAAAACTTGAAAGTAATAATAATGCACAGCAAAAATACAGTCAGGAAAAGGGCTTAATACAACAGAAACCAACTTCCAGTGTACAAAATAATGGTTCCTCATTAACAAAGCAAAAGACTACAACCCAGAAAAAGACAAAATCCACCCCATCAAGAGATCGGCGGAAAAAGAAGCCCATAGTTGTAAGTTGTGAGGAAAAGCATCAGCAAAACCAGAAAAAGTCACATCAGTATCGTCAGTTACATGACATTTGGATAGGATCCAGATTTCAAAGATATGGGCAATTTTATCCACCTGTTTTTCCTATCCTTTTGGGAGAAATTCCGCCCATAACCACAATGTGCAAACCACTGGCTCCAAAAAGTTCAACCATACAAGAGAAAAAATTCTTTCCTCCAGTCGCTCAGATAAAATTTGAGAGGTATACAGAAATAGCACAGGAAAAAATGGTGAAGGTTGAACCACTGGATTCTCTCACCTTATTTCATTTTAAAATGGAATCCAACGGGCAGGAGTTTACAGATAAAGCTTATAATTCTCAGGTACAGTCAACAGTGAATGTTAATCAGAAAGCTCACCCTTCGACCCAGCCCTCCTCTCCACCTAACCAGTGTGCTAAAGGGATGGCTAGTGATGACCAAATACAGTTGCAACAAGATGTTAAGGAGCAACTCATGCATCAGAGACTGCCAGCATTGCCAGGTATCTCTCAAGAGACACCCTTACCGGACCCAGCACAAATTCTCAGGAATGTAAATGTAGTGTGTTCAGGTGGAATTACAGTGGTTTCTACCAAAAGTGAAGAGGAAGTCTGTTCATCTAGCATTGGCGGATCAGAATTTTCCCCAGTAGACAGCACACAGAAAAATTTTAATGATTATGCCATGAACTTCTTTACTAACCCAACAAAAAACCTGGTGTCTATAACTAAAGATTCTGAACCACCCACCTGCAACTGTCTTGGTAAGTACTTGTGTTGATGTGTTCTTTCACCTGCATAAGCTGCCTCAAATCATGACAGAAGCTTGTGTGGTATTTTTGCCCCATTCCTGTTCTAGCTAAGATAGACTTAGTAATTCTATAACCATTTTTCTGTGGGATCTTTATTGATTCTGCTCAGAAAAAAATGGAAAATTCAACTCATAATTTGGAAACAAAGATAAACTTTCTCCAGTGGAAAATATACTAATTTCTCTCAAGGCAAAATATCTTTTGTTTATTGTGCATAGCGTAAGAATGAATTCCCTTATTACTTCATTACAGTTTGTTTATTCTTCCCATATTTAAAAGAATTTCAAATTACTAGACTTTCATTAACATTTTTGTGCGTGTCAGATAGGACATGCATACAGAGAATGTAAAATGTGGATACAACTTAAACAAATAACTATAGAAAGTATAGATGGCAATTGCCATCCTGGTCTAGAACTGAATCTGGCTCATATCTTTTTCAGTTTCTTGTGCTTTTGTACTCTATGCAATATAAAGGGTGCACTCATATCTAAAGACATTGCATAATCTTGTTCACTTGAATTCATAAATCTTTTTGAGTTTTA